GGTTGTGCATATGGGGGGAGGGAGGGGTCCGCCGGATGCGAGCAATTACAGATCAACAGTGGTGGTGAGGCACAAACACAAACCCCTTTTCTTGATGGAACATACCCCCTACTCTTGCCGTTCCCATGGTAACTCATAGAATAGCTGCGGCCTTGTAGCTGACAGCTTACCTGAATGTGTATGTGTGTGCATGTGTGTTAAGGGCCCCCAGGTGTGCTCTGTGAAGTGTGCGCCCCTGTAATCCGCAGGCTGGATTTTTGGGGATTACAAATCAGCCCATTAGCCCATTAGAGCTCTCACTCTTTCGCTTCTCTCTTGTCATCTCAAAACCCGCACCCATAAAGACTGTATGGAGCAGACTGTCTTTTTAGTCTTGTGCAGACAGGCATCTTATTAAAGGGGTCATATGATGCTATTTTAAAGATCATTATTTTGTGTATTTGGTGTAACAGAATATGTTGACATGCTTTAATGTTCAAAAAACATTATTTTTCAAATACTGTACATTATTGTAGGTCCTCTATGCCCCGCCTCTCTCAAACACGTCGTTTTTCAACAAAGCCCCCTCCTTTGACAAGCGCAGTCTGCTCTGATTGGCCAGCTGACCCAGTGCATTGTGATTGGCCGAAAATCACAAGCACACGTCGGAAATGTAACGCCCCTTACCATAATCACGAGCGTCAGCTTTCAAAGTAAATATCAAGACAGTTAATAATGTCGTTAGTTTTACCATCAGTTCAAGCCCGAAAGGGCAACAGAGTCGCGTGACAGACACAGTGATAAAGCGGTACACAAGCCGCGGTTAAGACAGCTGACGTGCTATGATTTCTGACAGGCAGTTCACTCTCCTGTGATGTGACCCTGTTCCCCTCACACACACACACACACACAACGCATTACTCTGCGCTGCGCAAACGCATTTGAACAGTCAATAGCAAATACTTAACTAACACTAAACTAATAACAAAACATACTTACAGTCGCTGATTCTGTGATTTAGGGCTGCCGTGACTATGTGATATAATACCATCAAGCGTCTAGACACACACAAGCACACCCGCAGCACTAAATACTAGACACAAATCTCATCCTCCACAGTCAACGAGGAAAATTCGCAAATCATCTTTTTCTGCTTAGACATCACTGGTAACTGCACACAGAAAGAACAAGCCCTTTACCACAGTCAGCTCTGCTGAACTCGGACTACAGCACGAGAACAGTAGGGCGCGAGGGCAGCTTCTCTTGAGAGAGAGAGAGAGAGAGAGAGAGAGAGAGA